GCAGGCGGGCAACTCTGGGCACCGCCATTTACTACTAAAATGTTTGCAGATAACTGTAGAAAATCTCCTATGGTACAATATAGCGTTGAATTTATTGAATTAATGATTAAGGTGGACATATGAAGAATTTGGTCGTCGATACCGCGTACTCTTTCCGGAAGGAAAAGCAATGTGGCGCGATAACCCGCGACAATTCGCTGAAAAAGCATGCCACAAATGTCTCGAGGTTTCGCACATGAATAATCTAATTATAAGCCGTTTCTGATTCTTCTTTTCCAGGAAGGAAAATTTGCCCTGGGCAAAACAAAAATCTTTTTCCGTACTGGACAAGTTGCTCTTTTGGAACGAATTCGGCTCGAAACTCTGAGCGCATCCGCAGTGCTGATTCAATCGAGATGGCGTGGATATGTTGCTAGGAAGAAATATGAGACCATGATGAAGAGCATACGTACTATACAGGTATTTGTCATTTATAGGTTGCGGATTAGTGAAACATAGCGAAATTCCAACCGGAGAAAATTAGCTTTTGATCACACCAATCATGCGTCTGTATCGGAACAAAGAGTACAATCAATGGAGAAATATTATAAGAATGGCTGGGAAGATATTATCGTTTGATGTGCAGCACTGAATCGGTAAAAATTTGCTCGCTGTGAATTAGCCAAACTTTTTTTCGCTTAAAAGCAGATTTAGGCTTGCACTATCACATGTCACCTGCTGAAAATTTTTCTCAGCTGAACTCAAGTCGGTCCTTATGAGCTTAGTCTTCCCAAAACTTCTTATAGGGTTTCCCCCTCTATGTTTTAGCATACGGCGAGTAACTTAGTAATTGAAAATATACTTCGCGGCACCCAGCAAACAACAATATTTGATTTTTGAGTTGTTTTTTGCTAAGAACAGTGAGATCTTCTTCACATGTGCCTCCTGAAAGTGGAATTTTCGAAACATTCTGAACATTTGTATTTATTTTCAAACATGCGAATGACTTCTTTCGATGGTAGTACGGGATTTCGTAGATGAGATTTGAACCTTTTTGAAACCTAACTTTCCGAATATTCAGA